GATGTACACAGCGCGTATCATCGCGCGAGCTTTAGATCCGGAAAAGAAGAAGAAAAAGAAAGAGGCGGTGGTGGAGATGATCATAGGAAGTAATCAATCTCCGGATTGAGAGGGGGAGGAAAAGGAGGAAGAAACGCCGCGAGCGCGGCCAAGTTGGCCGGCACTTCCACTTCATTGAAGTGGTGTTGGACAAAGGAGGGGTAAAGGAAAGCCCCCGACACATGCAAGAGGACCCGTGGCGCGAGATCGGCGATCGCTCGAATGATTCGTCGTCGCAGCGACCGATTTCGCGGACCCGTTAGCACTAGATGGGTCTCCGTGTACGGCCTCCGCTCCCGCTTAACCGCCGCGAAGACCAGGATATGGTACATAATATTGGGCCGCCCGCCGGTCTCGTAGATGAGTGTGCCCACCACTATACATCCATGCCGGATGGGGACGTGGCGCCCCCTCGATGGCCTCAAGCTGGAGGGTGGCCAGTTCCACCATGTGATCCACGTCAATGACCGAGGTATCCCGGGCAGGCTGGCGAAATCGGAACGGTCCTGCAAGGAGGGGGTGTCTGGATGCGGGATATGGAACTCGTCGCAATCCCCCCCCGACGCTTGATGGCCCGGCTGCATGGCTGTTGAGATCGGGGAGGCGGGGCCGCTGAGGTGTCGACTCCGGATGGCATGTGGATCTCCACGGCCCTTCGGCGGGGCGGTCCTCCCCCGGTCGGGGCCCGATGATGAGTGTGGCTCTTCTCTCGCGAACCGGATCGACTTCGCGCACCGGCGCAGGCTGGACGACCTTATCGACAGGCCCCACTCGACTGGCCTGAGCTTCAAGCGATGGACCTCGTTGCTGCTTCGAGACGGTTCTCTTTCTTGGTGCCTTCAAGGCCGCCGACTTTGGATACAATGATGGAGGCCGCAACGGCTTATCTTCGTGTCGGAAGTCCACCACGGACTCCCCTTCACGCGCCAGATAGTCAGGTATCACCGCCGCGTTATACAATCTGCACGGAGCTGAGGCGGTCCGTAGTCTGAGCTGCAAGTCTTCTTCTTCCGCGGCGATTACCTGCGCAATGGACAGCAGCTCGATGTGAATGAGCTGTAAGAGCCCCGGGCGATTCGTTCCGATCCTCCCAAAAGGATAAAGCGCCACTGTTCCCTCCTTCCGCTCCGGCTTCGGCTTGGCGATCACGTAGTACACGTGGAGGAATTCGCCAACGTTATGAACTTCGTGCTCCACGAAGAATGTGAACATGCCCAGCACCACCGATGAATACAGCGCTCGATGCAGCTCCCACGCGTCCTCGTTGGCGGGCGGCAACTGCTCCACGTCCGTCAGCTCCACTAGGTACTCGGGAAAGTTGCGCATAGGATAGGGGAGCTGCGTCAGTTGATAAGGGAGGGTAGTGTAAGAGAAGAAGGGAGGCATTTAGAGAGAAGGGGGAGGGACAACTTGGATGTTAAGGGGCTCGGCGGGAGGAAGGAGCGCGGGAAGCTGCGGCACCAATGCAAGTGCTCCCTCCAGAGTCCGCCGCAGAAGTCCTTCGTATGCAGTGAAGCGATGAGTGCCCCGAGCCTGCACTCGCGCCACCGATCTCGCCACCTGAAGGGCGTAATCGCGCAAGAATCTATACGCCGGCTCCCGATCGTGCCCGGGCAAGACGGTCAAATCCCCAGTGAGAGTAGCGACGCTGTGCACAAAGTCTGTTGCCACCTGGATGGCTCGGAACTCGATGAACACTCGCGTGGATTCTTGGCCAGGCATGGGCGATATGTCCATATAGACACCCGCGTACGTCACCCGCTGCGCGAGGAGCGAGTACACCGCCAAGTCGGCAACGCTGGGTGCCGGCACGTTCACCTGCTGAATGTCGAAGCGCAGCTGCCGATCGTCGTTGAACCGGTTCCAAAGAAGAGCGTCCGAGATGGGCGGCTGGAAGTGCTCGAGCAGTTCATGCTCCTGTTGGCGATGGTTCATCCTGCGAGGCAAGGTCTTCTGCGGATGCTGACGACGCCGATCAGAGAGAAGGGGAAGAAGGAGGCGAGGACGAAGGAGAACGAGAGGGGGACGAAGAAGGTGATTCGGGCAGGACAGGTGGCCGCACGAGATCTAGCGATGGCCGGAAAGGTCGAAGGGCAGCAGTGTGCCTCGTTAGCGGGCGGCCCTGCGAGTTGTGCCTGGGGACCAGCTTCACGGAGTGCTGGCCTCGTGCGCCAACTTCCGTCACTTCGTAAATGCCTGTGTAGCGTTGGTGGACTTAGGAGGAGCACGCGGATTTCCGTACCTGCACCAAGTCCCCTATTTTATAGCGAGGCAGTGGTCCCGCCGACGCGTGTCGTCGGTATCGATTCTCGTAGTCACGGATCTGCCGTTGATGTGTTCAATCTACGGCCTGCTGTCGACGACGAGCTAACGGGGGATAGGCCCTAGCCATTAAGTCCATGTAGTGGCGGGCCTTGTCTCGATTCTGGGCCCGTGTTGCTCTAACTTCCGTACCTACTAAGGGGGACAATTGCACCCGAGGGACACTATTGGTTCTCGGTTGAAAGGGGGACACCCCAGTACTACTGTGTGGAGTAGCCCGATAAACGGCCAAAATGTGATCGACAATGACCGGCCAGGGTCGGGTTTCTCCCGCAGTGATATCCCGTTTAAGGGCCGTCTTAATCAGTTGGTTGGCATTCTCTACCAGGCCATTGGCTTGAGGCCAATGCCCCGATGAGTAGATAATCTTAACGTCCGCCCTGACTAGGTGACGTTCTACTTCGCCTTGAAATTCCGACCCATTGTCCATGTGTACCTCTTCTACGTCTAGATGCATGCACAAAAATCGATTTACGTACCAGGCTACTTCCTGCAAATTCCGGCTGGTCATAGGGTACGCCTTGATCCATTTTGAAAAATGATCGACGGCCACTAAAAGAACATTGAGTTCTCCCTGATCGACGGGCCCTCTCGGAACGTTGATATCCGTCGTATCGACGCTAACCCTCTGAAAGGGGCGCTCTACACGAGTGGGCACMATCGTCCSAGGCATCTGTACCGGCGCCTTGTCCGCCGCGCAGGCCGGGCAATTCTGAACGATGTATTTCACATCTTCCCGAATTCCCGACCAGTACCATCCATTCTTTTCAATGGCTTTTTCTGTGTACTTGACCGCGAAATGGACCGCATCCTCTTATGAGCGGCTCGTGTCCAATCGAACCTAGCATGAGGGTGTGGAACCGTCAACCAGCTAGACTCTCCGTCGTCATCGACCTTCCGTTTTTGTAACGTCGGGCCCTGCGAGCGATAGTCCTGCGCCCGCTCCGTGACTCTCCACTGTTCGGCTTTGGTAAGTTCTGACAACGAGTCGCCTGACAGTTTCCGTAGCAACAGAAGGTCCGTCCAGGCTTCTGCCCGGCGGGCACTCGGTGCAAATCCGTCGGCTGTTCTAGCGTTCAGATACTGCTTCTCGGTAGGGACTTGGTCCGTTCTACAGTTGGGACAGACCCACGTCTTTTCACTTCGGTACCTAACTCACTGTCCGTGAGATTTGACCGTATGACACTGACTACACTGTACCCATAAGAGAAAACTGGGCCCTCCCGGATGTGACCCGTCTTGGTCCGGGATCATAGGCAAGGTACAGAAGAAACAGGGACTTAGGTGTGTTTCAGAGGACGAGTTGGGGCTAGACGAGAGAGTGAGGGAGTGGGATGAGGGCAGAGAGATAGCGTCGGCCATCTCTAATGAAACCTCCATTCCGGACTCAGGCGTCGTCCTTACTTAGCGCGTAGCTCCCCGTAGTGCAGTTTCATCGCCGCGATTACTGGCCTCCACGGAATGAGTCACTCGTTGGCGAGACACTTGTTGGGCGGCAGAAGGCATGTTAATCCATCGGCGTTACCATGCTGCCGCGTGGCAAGATGGCGGATGTCGAAGTCATAGTCTTGCAGACGCACTGCCCACCTGCCCAGCGTCCCCATGTAGTCCGTGTTGTTGCGTAGGGACAACAGCGGTTGATGATCCGTAACCAGCACAAATTTCTGGCGGTACAGATACGGTCGGAAATGCTGAATCCCCCACACCACCGCCAGGCATTCACCTTTGCACGCTTCGTAATTAGCCTGCGCCTGGCTTAGCGTCTTGGACGCATACTCAATGACGTGCTCCCTTCCGTCCTTGCCGTGCTGAGTCAGAACCGCCGATATCGCCTGAGGCTGCCAGTCTATGTACAGTGCGAATGGTCTTGTCGGGTCGGGGCGCGCCAACACAGGAGCAGATGTCAGAGCCTCCTTCAACGCCTGAAACGCCGCTTCGCATTCCGGCGTCCAGATCAACTGTTCCTCTTTCTTCAGCAGGTTCGTGAGGGGCTTCGCTATGCCGACAAATCCCTTGATGAAGCGTCGGTAATAGGATGCCGGCCCTAGAAAAGCCCGAACCTGGGTGAGTGTGACCGGCGCCGGGGCGTCTTGAACTGCTGCCACCTTCCTCGGATCCGGTTTTAGTCCGTCGACCATGACGATATACCCCAAGAATGAGATCTCCGACAAGAAGAACTTGCTTTTCTCCAAGGCCACTTTGAACCCTGCATCTTTTAGTGCATGCAAAACCCACTCAATGTGTTCCACGTGGTACTCGTGTGTTTTTGAAAAGACCAAAATATCATCCATGTACACAATCACGCAGAAATTGATCAGGGGCTGGGTCAATCGGGTATTGTTAACGAACTTAGCGAATGCCATATTCATGGCCCGCTGAAACATTGCAGGGGCGTTACAAATTCCCATGGGACACCGGACCCATTGCCACGTGCTCTCAAACAGGACAAAGGCGGTTTTGGGTCGGTCCTTCGGTCGGACTGCGACGTGGTGAAAACCGTGTCGGATATCGAACTTGGAAAAGACTCAAGCGGCCATGATAGCGTCTAACAAATCATCGATTCGCGGCAAGGGGTACACATCTTTGGTAGTGATGGCGTTCAATTTCCGGTAGTCGATACATACCCGGACCGAGCCATTTCGTTTTGGCACGAGGACCACGGGAAAAGACCATGGTCCTAGCGATGGTTCGACCCACCCCAACCGTTCGAATTCCCGTACCCTTTCCAACGCCAGCTGCCTTTCTTTAAGGGAATATCGGTACGGTCGGCAATGTATCGGGGGGTGATCCCCGGTGTCAATCACGTGTTGCATCAAAGGGGTTAGCCCTATGTCGTGGTCCTGAATATTGACGGCCTCAGGATACGCCCGTATAACCGCCAAGAGGAGGCGTTTGTATTCGTCCGGAACACGGGCTGGTAACTGAACTTCTACGGCTCCCCCAGGAAAGGACACCGTCGTCGTAACCGTGGGGACCGCCGCGTTGGCATCGGGCGAGGCCCCAAACAAAGAGTTGTCGGTTTTCGCCAAAAGGACTGTCGCAATAAGTTGGCTATCCGCCGGACTCATCGGCTCGCTTTCCATGTCGCTGTCACTGTCCAGTTCGGGTTCGGTCGAGGGTTCGGTCGAGGGTTCGACCGAAAAGGCCTGCGCTTGTTCCCTCGGTCCCCACCAATACTCCCTCGTTCGGGGTTGAAACGACACCCCTTCTTTCAGGAGTATCGCGACTTTTTCATTCGTGAGTAGGGGCCGTGGAGGTCGAAAAGATAAATCGCACAGCCCCCTCAGCTCGGTAAATCTTTTAGGTAGGGGGTCCGTCTTGAGATACAAGGACGCAGGGGGTTCCGAAAGGTCAGCTATTCGGGATAACCTCAGCCGGGGTTCCCCCTGCACCACGGAGGAGAACGTGTGCGACCAATTGGACTCGCTCTGAACTATTTCCAGTGGTTCTCGCCGCGAAGAGTGGCGCCACCGATCCTGAACTCGGATCGGATATCGGTCGGGTACATCAGTCTTGTCAGTTTCCGTCGAGGGTTCATTTTCGTCTGGTGAGAGGCGTCGGATCATGTTGATTTGATGGGCTTTCGTGGTGAGGCGAGGCGCCGGCTGGGTGCGCATGCGCACCACCAGTCTCATTGGTATCGTTTGGGGTTTGGGGTGGGCCGATGTGAGCACCACCTTCCAGCTGTCAAAGTGCATTCGCGCTCCGACCGCCGCCTGCCACGGAATGCCTAGCAGAACATCATCCGCCTGTACATCCAGCACGATCACGTCACACAAACAATGCACCCGCCCCACCCATATAGGCACGTTCGTTATTCGCCCTTTACAATGAATACTATCTTCCGTAGCGGATATATACAGTTCATCCGGTCGGAGGGGCTGAACCTGTCCTTCCCTCACCAACTGTTTCATCAATCTCCAAGAAATGGCGACCGCCGATGATCCCGAGTCTAGGATGGCGGCCGAGGGGTTTCCCCATACCTCACAATCACACTCTACGCTTTTCCAGGTTATAGGATAGGCCCGGAGGAATACCTCGGGTTTTTCCGAGGCGGAATCTACGGTCTGGATCATCCCTATCCGGTTGGCTTCTTGCACCTCTTAGGTCGAGGGCTGTGACTCCTTGTTAGTGGGTGGATCTCGTAGGACCGGCTTTTTTCCCTTTCGACTTTCCTCGAATCGGCGCCTGTTTTTGAGGCACCGTTCGATCAACTTTTCGTTAGCCGCTTCGGAAATGGTTAGCAGATATGGAATAGGGACGGGGATCCGAAGGTCCAGAGCCTTCAAGGCATCCAATACATCGATATGGTCATACTTGTATTCAGGACCAGGTACCGCAAGATCCTCGAATCCTGGTCGCCACGGCCCGTGGTCGCTTTCCTCGATAATCCGTTGGACGTGACGTATCACTCCGATGGTCCCGGGTTCGAACATCGCTGCCGCCATATACTCATCGGGTCCTATCTCAGTGGCCGCCGGGGTCACCATCTTCGTCGTTCCTGTGTCCATTACCGTGGCTACCCTCCCCTGTCCTGCAGCGGTGGGAGCAGCCAACGGGATTTGGGAAGGTCCGGTGGGCCCGCCCTGAGTTCGGGGTTTCGGACAATCTTTCGCAAAGTGGCCTGGTTGATTACAGTTATAGCAGCGTAGGGGTGGGACAGCCCCGGCCACGGTCGGTCTTATCATAGGGGCTCCGGCAGCCATAGCCGCCTGTTGCCGTTGTGCGGTGGCTATGCGTTGCCATTGTAGACCTTGAACAAACTCCATCAACGGGGCTACTACCGTAACTAGTTGGGCCGCGACTYCTTTCATGGATACTTCTTCCTCGCCCCGGCCTCCTTGCGTTTGACTAGAGCGACGGGAGGCCAAAGCAGAGGAAGAAGCTTTTCGATCCGAGCCTTTTTTTGCCGGACCCAACCCGAAGCGATCTTCGAACATTCGTGCCGTAGCGGAGTAGCTATTGCGTCGAACACCCGAAGGGTCATCTTCGTTGGATTCTGAGTCCAGGCCCACATCGTAATTTTCTTTCCCATACTTAATTGAGTATTGAATTAGCTCCGTCAGGGTATRTTCTATAGGGTTGCATTTCTTGCGGATCTTTTTCCGCAGACGGGAATCTGACAGTCCTCTGACGAAATCAATCCGTACCATTTTCTCATCCACCCCGGAGCGTTCGGCTAAGTACGTAAAACGTTCAGCATATCTGGCCAAGGCCTCCCAAGGCTGCTGCGTGTATTCCTGTATTAAACGGAGGCATTGACCCGGTGCGATGTGATCAAATCTATCGAGAAATTTCCTCTGGTAAGCTGCCCAATTAGTGAAGGGGTTATATCCATACCACTCAAAAGCGATTCCGGCTAACCTTCCGGGCATTCGCTCTCGCAGCAACTGATCCGACCAGCCCTGGGCTTTCAAGCCCGCTAGCCAGGTACGAGGGTCGGTGTCATCTTCGGAGAAAATGGGAACTTCGGAAGGAGGAGGTACAAAGTATAGGGGATGATTGGCCATCCCCGCGTGGTTGTCACCGTCGTTTTCACCCCCAATTCCGGGTTCCACCATCGCGGGAGGCGGGTTTCGAGCCCGGCCTCTCGCTCAGTTCTGATTGCTATTCGCGGGCCTCCGTCGACAGGGAGCCAGCCTACTCAAAAATGCGAAAAATCTAATAAAAGGATCAAAAGGAAAAGAAGAACTTTAAAACAGGGTAATCGTCCTAGGAAAACCTCGGAGCCGAAACGAATCAGCTTCGATACCAACCTCACGCCCCCTCGCGGCTTCCCGTACGGGGTCGCCGATCAGAGTTCAAGGAGGGGCGTGGCCGAGGATTTTTGGCCGTAAGGGTTGAGTCTCCCGGACGGAACGGGAGGCTCTCGTTTCAGGGCCGAGGTTTTTCTCGGAGTCGAACTGTCGTCGAGAAGTCCCGCGGGGGTCGGATTACTCCGAAACGAAAGAATCAGAAGGGTTTCTGTAAAAACGAATTGCCGTCGTGCATCGGGACGGGAATAGGCATCAAGGGGAGGAGGCCATGGCGGCAGACGGCAAAAATTCTGGCCGTCATGGGTTCCGGGGATAGGTGGTGGGTTCGAAGCCTTCAGGCCTCGTCATCGGCCTCACGAAGTGGCCGAACCCTCGGGTCTTTTGCTGTAGAGGTGGTTGGTTCGAGGCCTTCAAGCCTCGGCGTCCGACTCATAAAGCCCGCGCGAAAGTTTACGGAGGGTAAAGCAGCGGGAGGACTCGCCGGCATCTGAATTCGAAATTGCGCGGGCAGCGCCCCCGCACTACGGGAAAGCTCGGGGAAACGTGTCGCTCCCTCGTAACCCAGGACCAGCCGTCGCCACGAACACGAGTCCCCCTGGCGACACCAGCGACAATCAAACTGCGGTCGCCACGCGGAGTGAGCGGCCGACCAGGGCAACACCGTTAAACCCGTATAAGGCAATATTAAAGTCGGGGAATCAAAGCGATCAATCAACATAAACCCGTTCCCCCTTATCTCACAAGCCCGAGGCGGGTCTTGCCAACACACTTGCTCCGTCCGCCTCAGCGCGCGCCGTACGTCCGCATCGCAGTAGACGCTGTCGTCATCTGTGATGGGGAAGGTCGGTAGCGAAATGAGACGATCGGAGGTACGTGATGAACACGGGCAAGATCCTGCGTTCCCGGTCATCCGAATCAACACCGAATCCATACAACAATTGTCGCAACGCTTCTCTCTCAAAAGTGGGTGCGTAGGGGGAGGATGACGAAATCTAAGCTTTCTCCCCTTGGCGGGGGCGTCGACCGTCCGCGCGGACGAGAGGCTCTAAAGGCGATGACTGTTAGTTCAAAAGGAAGGCGA